CCCTGGTTTGAGTTGCACAATCACCACATTGACTGATCCACAGGTACTATTTGGAACTGGAGCAACCATTGTCATGCCCACTGTCGAAGGTCAGTGGCACTCACCAGAGCCCCTGGCTCCACCTACACCACAGAAGTTATTGACTTGAGTAACGCCCCCCAGTGAATACCATGACCAAAAGAGGGTTTTAGTAAGGACTCCGAGTGTTCCCTTCCACCGCACAGGCTCTTTGACTGCAGTATGGAATTGCGTTCCGGGGCTCCGCTCCCGACACACAGACTATACAGCCTGACCAAACGGGCCACTTCTAACATACTGTAGTAAGAATAATTACTGTGGCAGCTAGGTTGACAAAAACGCAAGCTAGCATAAGTCACACGAGAAATTCTCTCCCAAACGGCGACACTCATAGCGGTTGACAATCGCGGCGGGGGAGTCGTAATTAGTAAATAAACATTAAAAACTGGCAAAAAAAATTACATTAAAATGTAATTTCTACTCACACCAAAATAAAATCACTATTTAATCAATAAGCACACAATAACCAAACGCAAATAACAGGTGAGCATGATTGGTTGTGACCTGAGCCCTAAACAATTATGTGATTTTTTTTTGTTTTTTAGTCGATAGTCTGTTTTCTCTCTAGATATTTATTGATGTGCTGTTTATAGTTGTTTACGCTCCTCTGCAACGAACGCTGCTCGAGCGAGACTTTCAGAAAGTGAAAAATTGAATATGAATTATTTATTCTGGTGTTGCGTGACTACATTTAATGATAGCTTAGAGCTGGTTCAGTACAGCTTAGCCTTAGCATGTTTCCCCCTGTATATTACTGTTTGTCCTCCTTTAGTGTTTAAGATACTTTACAGAAGTGTCGTTTATTTTCTACAGTTGAGGTGACGATTAAGGACTTTTCGAGGCGCAGCTGCTGCCACACTAACCAGCCAAACAGCCACAGCCATGGTCTCAGAGTTGCAAAACTAGTTTTGTACATGGGAAGATACGATGACTTTAAGAAATATTATCGTTATTTGGTAGAGGTCAAATCTTTTGTCAGCCAATGACAAGCCGCGGCACTTAACAGACTGGCGGCATGCAAATTGCAAGTTAATACCGTGCATGTTGTCTCGTCATTTCTTGAACATTTTCAAATTGTAACAGCGGAACAGAAGGGTACAGCCAGTAACAAAATATGGCAAAAAACGAACATTTGACATCTCTGCAAACATGGCATCATCTAAAACCGTGTACGATATTTTGCCAAAAGCATCCATCCATTATCTGAACCGCTTATCCTCACAATGGTCGCAGGTGTGCTGGAGCCTATCCCAGCTGTCTTTGGACCATAGGCAGGGTACACCCTGAACTGGTTAAATTTGCAGTCAAACGCAGGATACACATAGAAAAACAAACATTCACAGTCACAATCACACTTTGGGACAATTTAGAGTGCTCAATTAACCGCTCATACATGTTTTTGGAATGTGGGAGGAAACCGGAGTACCCAGAGAAAACCCACGCAGGCACAGGGAGAACATGCAAACTCTACACAGTAAGGCCAGTTTCGAACCTTGGACCGCTGTACTGTGAGGCGGATATGCTAATCAGTTGTACACTGTTCTACACTTGCATAGAGCTTTTTTTTTTTTTTTTTTTTTTTACAAAATATAAACAATGTACTAATTTTATACAATAATAGTTTTTGTCTGTTTGTGTAAAAACAACAACAGAGATATACAGTAATTGTATACACCTTACTTTAGAAATGTCACTCCAGTAGGCAAGCAGTAAGCTGCACATTTAGAATACATTATTATTCATATATTAATAGAGTCAAATGAGGCTGGTCACATATGGTCATAGCACAGTCATGCTACAATAGAAATGGGCCTTTCCAAAACTGTTTCCACAAAGCATACAAGCAAAACGTGATCTGCAGAATATTCATTTCGACCGAGAAGGGGGCAGTAAGCCTGCCATGATCTCACTTTTATACATTTATTTATTTGTATGCTTACATCTTGAGACTGATGTTTTCTCTCGCCTTGTAAACTCAGATACAACTCAGCTGCTGTTGTCACTATTCCTCAGAAGGATTGCAAAGCCTTCACGTCTTTAACACGCGGACAAGTGCATGTAACTTAAGACGAGTTAAACAAACTGAAGACGTTCACATGTCAACACCGTGTGCTGCCTACACCATATCGCGGCTATTCATCACACAGGGCTCAGCGCTAATACCATCTGCAATTTTCACTTGGACATGGACACGGTTTCAGTCAGACATGGAAAGAGGAGGCTATTTTCAGGATGCAAGGCTGGCTCCTGTAAGTGCTTAAGACTACAAATGCGTGAACAACAAGACAAGGTTTAGGATGATAAACATCAGAAGGTCATGAACGGACTCAAACCCCAATGAGACGAAGAAAACAACAGGCATACTTACAAAAGAAATACAGGCAGCCAGCAGAAGAATTCGCACGAGTAAGTCTTCAAACTGTTCAAGGACAAGCTCCCATAAAGATTTCCCTACAGGGAAGAGAGCGTAATTAAACAATCATTCAAAGAGAGCTCTTTGTAATACGACACAAGAGTAGAATATCAATGAAATTACCTTCTTCTGCTGGTAATTCTATTTGTCAGGGAGTGCAGACCAAGGATGTTGTAGGACAGACACACACACACACACACACACACACACACACACACACACACACACACAGAAAGAAAGAGAAAAACGTCAAATATTCAGCCAGATGAACATGTTGTATTCACTTCCTTTTAAAAAAACAAGAAATTCAAGAACAGTTGAGGACATTATGGCAAAGAGCAGTGATAACTGACGGTGCGCTGTCTAAACTATTATTTTAAATGACTAATTACATGACTATGTGTGGGAGTCACTGATGGTGCAATGGCACACTCGCCTGACTTTCGTGTGAGCAGGATGGAATTGCTTCGCACTCAGGGATGGTGTGGATGTGGGTGTGAATGGTTGTTCGTCTCTATGTGCCCTGCAACTGACTGGCGACCAGTTCAGAGTGTAGTCCGCCTTCCGCCCAAAGTCAGCTGGGATAGGCATGCGTTACATTAGACTCCATTTGAAAAAACACCAAATATCAGATACTGCCCCAGCAACTTCCGAATACTACATAACAGCTAATATCACAATGGAAATCGTAGACAAATCCACTCCAAGCAGGGATGTAGATGATTTTATACCAGGTATTAAATATAAAGATAAGAAAATCTTTATATTTAATACCTGGTATAAAATTATCAAAGGGAGAAAGTAGAAGACAAAAAGTATATAAATATGAATATAAATATATTAGAAATGGGTAAGTGGGGGTGAGTACAGGTTTTCAGGACCATCCTTCTATAGCTATAAATACGAGCTCGATCTTAATATTTATTAAAAATTGAACTGGATGTGACCGATTCGGGTGGTATGATGCAGTGGCCGGTGTACACACTGTAAAACACGTGTTGGGCACGTGGACAAAAGACTAACTTTCCGCTGGAACACAATTTACATACAGTATGAGAATATTTTCCACGTGGCCGTGACAAAGTTAACACAAATCTTGCAGAATAATGGACATTTGATCCGGGAAGCAGTGGCCAAAAGTCACAATGCAATCATTACTACACTAAGTCAGAAGCGGAAGCCCTCAGGTCACCTGTGATTACGTCGCTTGGGCAACCCGGCCGGTTGAGGTTGACTTTTAGCCTACAATTCCAGCCCGGGTCTATGTTAAGGTGACTCATTCATTCACGGCACCAGAGTGACATTACAAGTTTCGAGTGGCGTACCGTTCAGGCCCCATTTCTCCCGCTGTCGTTTCACCTCGTCCAGAGAGAGTCCCGTGCTCTCGTTGACGCAGAAATAACTGTAAACTTCCTCGACACTCTTCGTGTGAGCGTTCTCCATGGCGGACTGGCGGTTCCTTCGCGTACAGCTTCACACTTCACTCCACTCTTAAGACGGCCCGGAGCCTCTATTAGAACCAATTGGGGCGGTAAAAGGAATAACTAGTTTATCAACTGAGAGCGTGCGGGTAGCAGGAGCAACCAGCGTGACGATCGTATTCGCCCCCTTTCCCTTTGCACGAGTCTCGAAAATTGTTACGGTGAGCCAAATTCTCGTTGCCCCGGTGTGATGAAGATTAGTCTGAGCGTCCAATTATGTCCAAAAAAGGGGGAGGATGTCTATTACAGTGTCCTGTGTGTGGCACTGCATTCGCCCAGACTGCTCCGGTGTGTTTCGGGGCAGCGTGCCGCCTCAGCTCAGCGCAGCTTCCAGTGAGTGAGCCATTGCGTCGCCGACAGCCTGCCTTTATCAAAGTGTTGCTCCGCGGTTCGGCATGTGGACTCGTCTGATTGGACAGACAGAGTCACCTGACCTCAAAACAGGGAAACACAAAAATCCGGAAGTAACAAGAAACTATTTTGAATACTGTCATAATGTAATGTGTTTCTGAAGAAGACATCACTTTCTAAATAAATACATTCAGTCTGTAAACAGAGCCATGTATGTTAATGGTGAACATTGAGTTAGGTGACCCTTTGCCCCAGCCATGCTTTTCAGGGGCTTCCATTGTATGTAACTTGACAGGGATGACGTGCATCACCTGTTATCACAGCTCAATAAGGCCCTTAGACGAAGATGCTTTAAAAATAACATGATACTCCACAGTTGGAGATCACCATGCACGCAGTCCGTTTGGCACAAGAGCCCGATACGCTGACTGTCATCAGCAGATTAGAAAAAGATACCCTGAAATCTCACTCAAGACATTACGTGGAACATGAAGCATAAGAAAAACGAGGACCTGAACCTTGTCCAGCAAGTACTTTAAAATGATAGATGATAGGTGTAGATGTCAGTGTGGATGGGTGTTTCTATGAGCTACGACTAATGATCATTCTAAGGTGTACTATCAGCCCTTGTCCAATGTCAGCTGGGATAGCCTGGAAGGATAAATGAAAACAATATATTGGGTTTTGATCATTTCAACTGCAAAACCATTATTACAGTTGCTCATTACAAAAGTTAAAATATAACATTTTTATATTATTCTTGCACATTGTGTGTAATATTTATTAAAATGTATAAAATGGGGGTGGGGGGTATAAACATGACCTTGCCAAAGCATTCAGTAAAACAAACAAAAAAACTTTACATAGTGTAACATACATTCTCTATATCTTGAAAAACAATAGTTCAACAAACAAGAATAACATATGAATTGGATACATAGCAACAGTTATCTCCAAAATTGGTGAGAAACACAGTCCAAGGTCAGGTTATTCTTGCTAAAAATAGTTGACCATGGCCACCGGTACTCCACTTTGTGTGCTGTTATCGGTGGACACTTGGATCGAAAGTACATTAAAGGATAAGCATGTGTCAAAAAGTCTGGTGGGTCACACAGAGTTTAAACACTGAAAATCTCAAAACGATGTCATAAAACGGATCGCTGTGCTCCTCATGTAAGAAAACTCATAATGCATTTTCATAAAGCAATTAAAATAAATAATAGCACAGTGGGGTTTAAAAATAAGTAAGTCTACATGCACCGAAATCATGTTAGCCCTCACAGCACCAACCTATCCTCTCCTCCTTCTTGGATGACCTGACCGACAGATGCCTCATTCTGCACTCTTATGAAGCACTGTCTCTTGCATTCCATCAGCTGCTCCAAGTCTTGCCACATCTTCATCTGCTCCATGTTAGCACTATGGCTCTCCCTCACCAGCTTCTGTTTCTCACGTAACTTCTGTAGTCGATGTGGAAAAAGGATAAAATGGCATATTCATCTTTTCAAACATCTCACCTCATGTATCAATCGAACATAATTTTACCAAGAAATTCACTGAGTAAATGGCTCACCTTGCCAAGTAGCTCCTGCTCTGCAATGTTCTTCATGTACACTTCCCTACAAACAAGGGCACATTTCACATATAGGCCATAGCAAATTCAAGAGAGCTCACACACTGTTTTCAGTGCGGTTTCTCATATATCCTTAATCCATATTTTGGTTCCATCATGTGTGGTAAGAAATTTCTGATGCCTCTTTATGTGGAACGAAATAACGATGGGGCAGCAGCTCAACTGACTGTGATGTAAGAGGGGCTTCCACAGGGTATAAAAGGTTATTCATCTTGCAAGCAGCTGGTTGGCCTGACTCAATGGGCTCACCTGATGGCTTTTTTCCTCTCCTGGACATCAGAGGACACGTAGGCCTTCATCTCCTCAGCCGCCCGCTGTATTTGCATCTCAATGACCTGTGCAAGTCAGAGATGGGAGGCTCATGTTTACAGGCGGGACGTAGTTGAAGGGATGGGTCGGCACACACTTCATGAATCTGTCCCCTCTGTCACCCCCACACAGCCATTAAAACAATGGGATACATTTTTAACATGTTACAACATGTTTTTCCGAGCAAGCCTCGAAGGCGTCATAAATGTTGCACAGCCGTCTGGTTACGTTTAGTATACTTGCAAAAAAAAAAATCAGCAAACTAGTTTGCAAAAGCTAAAAAAAAAAACGTGCATGCATTTTCCCAAAAGAGCAATTTAAGTTGATTAAAATTGTTGCATGTTGATAATGTAATCAATTTGTGACAAATTAAGATGTAACTAACGATAAGGCATGGGTGTCCAGCTCCGAGCCTTGATGGCTACAATCCTGCCTGTTTTTGATATTTCCCTCCTTCAACACACCTGATTCAACTGATCAGCTCATCAGCAAGCTATGTAAGAGTTTGATGATGATGCTCCTGACCATTTGAATCGGGTGTGTGGCTGGGGGAAAACATCTAAAACATGCATGTTTTAGACGCAGGATAGTGGCCCTCGAGGACCGGAGTTTGACACCTGTGATTAACCTGTGACACCACAGATAATTTGAAGTGATTCGGACATTATTGACAGAAAACCACCCACAGATATTATTGGACTAAAGCCCTATCCAGCCCTGTGTGGAAAAAGTACTTGCCCCCTCAGCCTATTACAGTGGTTGGGCCACTCTCAGCAGCAACAATTGAAATCAAGTATTTTCCACAACCAGCAATGAGTCTTTCATATCGAAGGTCAAAATGCAAATCCTCTTGTCTGATCAAGGTGTCAAATTCACACCCAAAGAGTAAGCCCTGCCAGTTTGTCTTTAGCCACAGGTGCATCTAGGCAACTGGCAGGTAAACAATCTCTTGGGTAGAAGAATCTGTGGCTAAATACAAACTGTGGCAAGGTTTACTTTCTGGACCTGGATTTGACCCCTCTGTCAGACAGGAGCATTTGTCTTTTGGCCCTCAATATTTCAGTGGAGATATTATTGGTCCACTCTTCCTTGCAGAATTGCTTTGAATCAGCAAAACGGGAGGATTTTTGAGCATGGACCGACTTTTTAAAGTCCATGCCACATCATTTCAATCAGATTCTAGTCCGGCCTTTGACTAGGCCATACACAAAACCTTCATTATATGTTTTTAAAACCATTAAGAAGTTGACTTGCTAATGTGTTTTGGATTGTAGCCCTGCTACAGAATCTAAGTGTGCTTCAGCTTGAGGGCACAAATCGATAGCCGAACAACCTCTCTCAGGATTTTCCGGAAAAGAGCAGAATTCATAGTTACATCAATCATAGCAAGTCGTCCAGGTCCTGAATTATTAGAGCAGTCCAAGAAAATCACACTACCATGATGCCCGATTGTAGGTATGATGATCTTTTTCGGAACTGCTGTGCTTCGTCTGCTGTAATGAGATACGGACCTTCCAAAAAGTTCAACTTTTGTTTGGCAGTGCATAGAATATTCTCCCAAGTCTTGGGACTTATTCAGGTGCCCCCCCCCCCCAAAAAGACAAGTCTTTATGCATTTTTGGAAGAACTCTGCCTGGATGACATTTTTGCACAGTTTTAGTGCTGAGTTGTTTTTAGATGATGTCCTGAGTTTCAGTGTGACCTCCTGGATGAGTCGGTGCTGTGCTGTTGGAGTAATTTCTGTAGGTTAGCCACTCGTGAGAGGATTCACCACTATTCTATGTTTTCCCAATGAGTGGATAACAACTTCCTAAAGCTTTAGGAATGGCTTTTTAACCCTTTCCAGATTGATAGAGATCAATGGCAATTTCTCATTTCTCTAGTCTGGAATTTCTTTGAACCGTGGCATTTTTGTTGAAACTTGTTGTGATCTTTTGGTCAACTTCATTTTGCCAGACAGGTTCTCTTCAAGTTACTTTTTGATTAAACAGGTCTGGTGGAAATCTGGTCTGGTTGTGGCCAGCGAAAATGAACTCAACTTTCTTGAAATTTTGATTCACCTCAGTAATTCACAATTTAATGGGGGGTGGGGGGGTGTTCAAACAGGGCCAGGTGGCTTTGAATATTTTTTTTCCTTTAATAAATAAAAATCACCATTTAAAAACAACCTTGTATTTTTACCTGGGTTATCATTGTCTGATATTTGCATTTGTTTGATAATCTTAAACATTAAAGTAGGGAAAATGTCAATACAGGTATTTGAGAAGAGGGAAAATGACCTTTTCACTGCATTGTATGTTTAAAGGTCAAAACTATAATGCGTGAGGCTACTACTGCTGACTTTTTTTTTTCCATTTGTGGGGAAACAAGAGTGTGAATTATCACTGATGCTATGGCTAATACAGCACTACTGTATTGTTACCTACAGTATGTTTGCTTTGATACCAACAGCAAACCCACTCCTCAGAATCTGCTCAAAATTTGGGTTCACAGCTTTGCAGAGGTGTCAAATTCAGGTCCAGAAAGTAAAAATCATGCCACAGTTTGTCTCTAGCCACAGGTACTTCTACGCAAATGGCAAGTAAACGACATCCAACTGCTGGTTCAGTAGAAGCATCTCTGGCTAAAGCCAAACTGTGGTAAGGTTTTTACTTTCTCGACCTGGATTTGACACCTATGCAGTTTTACACATTTTTTCACACTACAATATAAAGAACACACGTGCTTTGCTCATATGACCTATCTATAAAAAGGAATCAAAGTTGTGAGTACATAAAATATATGTTTTGAAATGTGTAGTAACTAAATGGCCTTTTTTGATGTTCACATTTTCTTGTTCGTATTATATTTCAATACGTTAAATATTCACAATGAGGGATAAGAGCACATCGATGATGGTGTAGCGGTGCATTGGCCTGACTTTGGTGCAGGCAGTGGGTTCAGTTCCCCCTCAGTGACGACGTGTCTGTCCCTATGTGCCCTGTGACTAACTAGTGACCAGTCCAAGGTGTAGTCCGCCCTTCACCCGTAGTCCGCTACAACATGGGTGTCAAAATTAAGGCCCGGGGGCAAGATCTGGCCCGTCACGTCATTTTATGTGGCCCGCGAAAGCACATTAAACATGTCAACTTCCATGATGCTTGCTAAAATCTGTATCAAAATCTCAAATTCTCATGTGTAATAAATGAGATATTGTAAGCATTTTCTTGTTACCGAACCCATCATTGCAGTAACTTCAACAATAATTGAATAAACCGCTTTTCTTGACTTCTTTATATGGTTTCGCAGTCACAACGGCCCTCCAAGGGAAACGGTCTCTACAATGTGGCCCGCGACAAAAATGAGTTTGACACCCGTGCGCTAGGATAAGCTTCAACTCAGCTGCTACCCTGAAAAGGTAATGTGGTATGGAAAAAGGATGGATGGATAAAAACACTTGTTTACATTAAAGCTCAGAACACATTTTTTGGACAGACTATGTACTACTACGATTTGCATTTTTGACGTACATTTATTCTAAACTGTATATTTGGGAATGATTAATCCTACTCATGTTTTAGGGTTTTTGGCAGGCTTGAGAGGACTTCCAAATACTTCAGCGGCACTCATAAGTACAGGAATGACTAGATTAGTGTTTGATTCAAAACATGTCAGAAAATAAGCCAAAAATGTGGATCAGTTTTCCTAAACCCGAGTCGATGTCCATGAATGTCCTCTTTTGCCGAAAACACAAATACAATTTGTCATTCATGGGGGTCTGATGAAATTGGAAAGTATAAACAACTGAGATGCTGAAATTAGATGATTTGGACTTTTTAAAATAACATGAAAAATGAGGAACAATGTTATCCTTAAGTTTTGTGTTCATTATTGCCATCGGACATTTAATTATGCACCGTATGCCTGCTTATGTTTTGCCGTCATAATGTTTGAAGTCAACCGCTGCTTGACAGTTTGGTTATTTAGTTCTTTTGGCAACTATGGAGTGGAGCAGTTTAATGCAAAAGAATCATTTGCTAATAACAGCCGGTTTACTGTGAACCATTTCGCTATGCCTTTGCCAAGTGGGGTCACTCAGAGGGGCAGACGTTGTAGAAAAAGGCATCAAATGTCCTGCGGCAAGAATTGTTCATGTCTACATTTGCAATGTTTGACTCGGTTTCAGCCTTATGTGGCTGCCTGCTCCTTATTCTTGCCTCAGACTTGCAGTTGATGGAATGATATCTGTTTTCCTCCTGTGCTGTCTCCTCTCTCAATGCTTTCACCTCCTGTGAAGAATCGAAACATTATTTGCAATACTCTAAGACAAATCGGGAATTTCACTGAAATAGAAAAAAAAAAATTTGATTAAACAATTACAAACTATTATGTAGGATATCACATCCAGCAAAGAAACGCGAGTATGAGGTCTGAACAAAGAAAAAACTAAAATGCCTCTACTTTTACGTATAGTAGAACAGAAACTATACATACCTGTTCCAATCTAGATCTGTTGCTCTCCAGACCGGCAGCACAACTTTCATACTGGGATTTCTTTTCTTCATACTCCTGATTTAACACCTGGTATGATATTGGAGCAGGAGGGCAATATTGCACCCACAAAAGAAAGATCGCTTTTCTGCACCAATTCATAGCGAGACACCAATTTCAACAGTGTGCAATAATAGCAACACTCAAAACACAGAGTCACTTTGAGCAATTTAACCAACAAAGGCCTCTTACAAAGTCTATTTTTGTCCTTCGGTTGCAGTGTTTCATGGGTGAACCTTAGCCACTGAAGAGGAAGATGGAACACATGTAGGAAAATTTAATCCTCCGCCTTTAGCGCAGCAATGTGGGGGGCATTCCCATCAAGCATTTTATTTCTGGAGCATGTAAATGATTGTTAAAATACCCTGTCGTGATAATAAACGATACACAAGTCCAACAGAAATCAGTAGTACATTAATAATTTCAGCTATTTGATTTCAAATTGAATTGAATGCATTTATGGCTCATCACAGTGGCTTCCTTGGCGTTAAATAGTTACCCGTATTTCACATGCCATTTACCATCCTGTGTTGTACCTAATTTACGATACTTATAAGTCAAGTCGCATGTAATATTTTTCATTTTTAAAGAGATTCTACAATAGTGTTTTTTTTTTTTTTGAAAAGGTCTCAATCAAAACACGAATGAAGAATTATATCATACAGTTACATTATAAACGGTTATGCTCACCTGACACTGCTGCCTCAGTGACCTCAGCTCTTTGATAATGGGAGCAAGAGCTGACTTCTTCTCCACTATCACTGAATTCAACTGCTTCACCTTATGAAAACAAAGACGGTCACAATGACATGTTTTTTTTCTCCTCTTTAAATACATTTTATAGATAGTAAATATATAGCTTATAGGCTCCAGCATGGCCACGACCCCGATAAGGATAGCAGTTTGGATAATGGATGGATATTATTTACAATTACAGTCAAACCGTGGTCAAAAGCAAAGAATATTTTTTGTAAATGCTATATTTACATGTATGCACGATGCAAACAGGAATATCATAGGAAAATGTAGCAGTAAACTTCAAGGAAACATTCCATCAGAAATGCGTGAAGGTTCAATCTTTTACATTTATATACGACTGGATTTTTTTTTTCCATATTAGAAATATCATTTGTCTAACTTAATTTAAGTATCGAGAGACACACCTGGCTTTTGAGACTCATGTTACGGTGAACACGCAATTACAATATGATGAATCAAAAATAAAATAGCAACCTCTCAACAAATGGATCACTGATTTGGCCTGATTAAACTGATTAAGACATGCGATCCACGCTTCATCAATAAACTCACAGGCAGACACACACACACACACACACACACACACACACACACACACACACACACACACACACACACCACAAATGTACTATGTAGTATTAATTAAAAGATCAACATCTTTCGTCATCAATACATTAGAATTATAAAAACTGATAGCAGATATCCCGATGATGCCATGATCGACTAATGTTACCATTTCAGACATGTCATCGAGAGTGCGGCCCTTCTTTTCATCTAGCTCGCTTTTGATGGCTGACACTCTCTCTAATTCCTCCTGAGTATTGCTGTAGCCAGAGATACCCTTCTCAGCTTCCACAGTTTGCTTCAAAAACACAAGGGAGAGAAATGTGCCAAGTTAATGACAAAACAAGGCAGCAAAAGCAGAAACTGCAGAATTTACTATTGTGCTAAGTATCTTAACTATGAAATGGCATGATTTTCTTTATTCCATTACCATTTATTCAGAATCAATTTGACCTGAGAATAAGCATTGAGGGCAGCAGAAAAAACACATGGATAGTGCACAGACCTCATGGATTTAAATATAACATTCAACCTCGATAAAATGAATGGAGAAGTCATTTTTTTCCAGACGTGCTCCTTGTTGGGGGTGAAAAAAATCCCCCTGAAGGGCACAGGTGTCAAACTCAAGACCTGCCACATCACAGATTGTATGTGGCCTGCAAAAGCAAATCATGTGAACCCCAATTCACGACCGCTGCTAAAATATACCAACATTTTAAATTGGCCACGCCTTGGTGGAGGTCTGCTTTCTAATGAATGAAATTACACATTTTCCATTGTTTTTCCTCCAGTCACCTACTGCATTTTGCAAATGTTAGTCGATATGTGCACAGTTTAACATGGGTTTAAAAAGTAATTGTACAGGAGGCATGAAAACATCAAAGTTGACGGAGGTCATAAATGGGTCTCTGGAATACCTGGCCGCTGATCAAATGTGATATTAGATAAGAGTAAAACCTCAGTTCTCATGATTAATGCGTTACAAAAAGACTGACTGAGACCAAATTGTACAAAACCGGAAACAATATTTTTTCGAACATTTTTTTTGCACACGAAATATCCTGACAGCTCATGTCCCATATTTAAAACAGGGTTTGGTCACCATGGAAAATTTGCGACAGCACTGAAAGTAAAATGAAGTTTGATCTGATGGAATAAGAAGCATTGGTGGAAGAGGGAAACAAACATGACTAAATCGATGGGTCCTATAATTTTCAGGAAGCAGTGACTACATAAAAGGCCTGCTTTCTTTGATTGAACTCGCTGAATGCGTGGCAATTGGATGTGCTGGTATGTGCCTATGTTGCGCAACATTGCGTCGAAAACTAGGCACAGTCTACTCTAAAAACGACGCCGGGAGAGGCGAGCACCAATTGTCATACGCTGAGATGACACAGACGCACAGAAACACGGAGTGGAAAGTTAGTAGATCAGCGTCCACATCCGCTTGCATGCGCCCATTTTTGCACATGCAAATCTGAAGCAAATCAGGCCCAATGCCACCTGTAAGGAGAGAAAAGTGTCCTTCTGTAGAGTAAGAGAGCTACTAACTCGTCACATACAAAAGGATGAGACTGAAAACCGTCTGCGTAACAACTGCCCCTGAGAGATGCAGAAAGAGCAGGGGCAGCAGATGCAGCTGTCAAAAATAGCGGCTCTGCATGGCTTCTTTCAGACAGCCTATCAACAAGTCAGGCGCTGGGACCACAAAGAGGTGTGAAGCAATTTCCAGGAAGCTTCCAGCACACCAGTGTTAACGTGGCCAGTGTGAATGGCAAATGCAAACGGAGCATTTGGAGCGAGGCAGCCAATGTGAAGCACAGGGGGTACAGTTTGGTGTTGAATGCCTTGCTCATGGGCAATTGGGCTATTGTGGCAAGGGAAAGAGCAGTTCCTGCACTGGTCCATTCACATTTTCCCCAATGCCTTTCCCCTAAGGCTGTGTGCAAAACTGGCTACTAGTTCGTAGCAAAATAGGCTGTCGGAGGACAACAGCCCTAGTTGATGTTCATGTGCAATGCTATGCGAAAAATGATGGAAGTCATAAAAACATGTCGCTTGGGTTTTTTTTCTCCTCGAGAGATCATCTGTAGTTACCAGTTTCTCTTGGACAGCCTCATGCCTTTGCTTGAGAATCTCCTCCGTCCGTTGTAGAACTCCATACTCGGCCTTCAGCTCTGCGATTTCTTGACGTTTCTTCTTGTATACTGTACCCTTGCTTCGCAGTTTCACCACCAAACGTTTCAGCTATGTGAGAACAAAAGACAATTCAGGTCAACGTTGGGGTCACATTGTTTGATTTTGATTTGGTTTGATATACATCAACAAAATATTTTTCTGTGAATCAATCTTTTTGTTGGAAATTATTCAAGAAAGTCTCAAAATTGGTTCCAAAGTTTTGAAATATATTCAAATGTTCATTTGATTGTATTTTTCTCCTTTATCCCCATGCCCAATTTTATCACACAACTCTTGACTACAGGTACACAAAATCATTGTAGAATTCTAAAGGATCCTGCTAACTTCTCGCGTAACGTTTGCGTTTCAGTGCCTCAATAAAGGTCAGGAGAGGAAAGGCTTTCGAAAACAGCAGACGGGGGGGTCTGGGGCCCGTGCCCTGATCTGGCATGGTCACTCGATCTGTTCAGCCAAGCTACGTCCAGCAAATAGCTCCATCTGGCAGAATCTCCCCTGCAAGTGGATGTGGGGCTGGGCCCCACCCTGAGTGTCGGTCTGTCTGCCTACTGGGACACAGTGAGGCTCCTCCACAATGAAGAGCAGCTATAAATGAACAAGGACACGGGAGAACAGTCCCAGAAAACACAGAATGTGCCTCATGTCCTTTGGGGACCCGAGAAGCTTCATGTAAGAGAGTGGGTGGAGGGACGGTTCAAAGAGTATATTCTGTGTGTATTTTAGGACATCAAGGGCAGTCGTGGCTGACAGAGGACTTAACAGAGCAGAATCATACTCCATAGTGTTTGTTCTTAACAGTATGTTCCCGAAAGGAATCCTGTTACCAAACAAGCAGCTCACCCATAACACACATGCTCACTCTAAAATAAGGTATACAAATGTACAGAAGTACATATATGAGCCACGAAGCAGCAACACAGAGAGCAGGACATGTTCCAAACACAAAATGGTGATCACCTCATAACTACACCACTATATTTAAGCAGTGTGATGTGCTCAGTTGATAAACTTTACAGGTTATCGTCTATCCAGTGCTGACCAGATGCAGTCGCCTTGCTACAGTTGATGGGTGGCAGGTGTTGACGCAACCAGCAGAATGGAAAAATACCGCTGATAAAGTGATCATCTCCACTGTGGCTGGTGGGCCCAACTATGGAGGAGGCTGCTAAGCAGCGCTGGATTGTCCAGCGGACCAAAGGGCCCTCTTTGTTACTACAACTGATTGCTTATCAACACTTTAGACATAAAAGGAAGAAGGTTACAAAGGACTCGTGCATACTTGAAAATGAGGACACTAGCCAATTAGTGCATGTTTATATTTTCCCCCGATGTTGTGCATGCGTAACTGAATTTTTTCCTCTCTGAGAGTAAAATAAATGATAATAACAATAGAATATTAGTTCATTTTGTCACAAAGACATTTTCTCCACTGGATTGTTCAACTCATTGCTTTCTGAGAACAATAGAGGATAAATCTGCTGGGAGTCATTTTACAGTGACATTGTCAGAAGCAAAAGACAGGAGCGGGCGGCCCGGTAGTCCAGTGCTTAGCACGTCGACTTCACAGTGCAGAGGTTCAATTCCAGCTCCAGCCTCCCTGTGTGGAGTTTGCATGTTCTCCCCGGGCCTGCGTGGGTTTTCTCCGGGTACTCCGGTTTACTCCCACATTCCAAAAACATGCACGGCAGGCTGATTGAACACTCTAAAATTGTGTGAGTGTGGGCAAGGATGGTTGTTCGTCTCTGTGTGCCCTGCGATTGGCTGGCAATCTATTCAGGGTGTCTCCCGCCTACTGCCCGAAGACAGCTGGGATAGGCTCAAGCATCCCCCGCGACCCAAGTGAGGGTAGAGCGGTTTGGAAAATGAATGAATGAAAAAAAAAAGACAGGAGCTACTTCCAAAACTTCTGATTTGTTCCAATATGAGTGATGAAATATGTGCGAAAATGCAAAAATGCATACGTAGTTGAGGGCAAGGTGAGGTGTCTGTGAACTGATGCCTGATGCTACATTTAAATGTTTGTGAAGCGCATTTAATCAGAGAAAATAATAAAATAAAAATCATCTTCTTCTGCCACAGTAGCAGGTTGGAGAGGTCAAGAATCAGACTAGTGTAGTATAATGTGTACAATCAAAAAGTACTGACAGCATCTTCTCAGCCACGACTGCAGGCAAGGATTTGGGAAAAAAACAAACAAAAAAAAAAAACAAACAAAAAAAACACACAAAATGAAAATTCTATTTTCTTGAAGCCCCTGTTTGTCACGGACCCTGAGAACAGCCTTCACTTTTCTTCTCCTGACTACTCTCCTGCTTACAGCAACAGAGAAGATCAGGAAATAGTCGTTGCAATTTTAGACTCATCAAACAGGCAGTAACATTGTCCGCTACATTTTGGCTGCAGCACCGTTTTCATCTGTTGGTGGCTCTCTGGTAATAAACAACGTTAAAAATAGAGTTGATAGATCTGTCAAAGCTGTCACGGAGTAAAACCCCGTTATTTTAGGCTGAATAATAGCCAGTTCCCTTAACCAAAGTACCGCTGTGATTGGGGTCCACTTGCTGACCACCATACCATGATGTGTGTGTGTGTGTGATGCTGAGAACAATTTGGCTTTACGTTGTGGATGTGTCAAATTATGCCGTACCTTCCATTCGGTAAGCTTACAGAATGAATAGACAAAAGACAGAGATTCCGTCCTCAGATTTTAGTTTCCCTGTCCATAATCCAGGAGTACTCACCAAGAGGACATCCCGGCATGTTTGGAAGTCACTTGTCGTGCGCTTAAATGAGGACAAATTTTATAGGCCTCCAAGTCTATTTAAAGTGTTCAGTTGATTTAAGTGAGTCGCATAAAAGATTTAGGGAAAAGGTGACTTCCAGGCATTTTGGTCAGTCCAAGTTTCTTGTGCTGGTTCTTCTCAGTTGGATTCTATTAATAGATCTTTATGGGAACGTGGGGGGGAATGGGGAAAAGGGATGAGTCCTGTTAAGACAGTGAGGCATCCATGTTTGGATTGGACCAGAAATAGCATTTTGTGTTTTCTGTGGTCGAATATACACAAGTACATTAAAATGAGTAATGTTATCAGAATACTTTATCTTGGCCACTGCTTATGGAACTCTTCTCAAGTTTGTCCATTAAAAAAAGAAATATTATTCATATTTTTAAGTAAATGAGTGGACTAATTTGTGGCTGCTGAAGACACATGCAGAAGAAGTGTACCTCGTCACCCCGGACGATCTCTTCCCCGTTGGAGGCCAGTGCCTGGCTGGCCCTATGTTTCAGCTCTCGCTCTGCAGCTGCTAACTCCTCCCTCGCTTCCTGCAGCTCTTCGGCTTTTGCTTCCTTCTTACGGATGATAATGGAGGCCTGCCAGAGTCAGATTACAATGGACATCAAAGCAAATGTGCAGCTTTTGAGGGAATCTTTAAAACAAGAGAAAATGACATCTGGTCATCGTTAAATGGTTGAGGGATTTTCTCTGAATCTTAATTTTTTATGTAAGCTAAAATGTTTTGGAGAAATCGGTTTCACACTTTTAAACAAGTCATGCATGACTGTGCCCCAGTGCATAAACTGAAGCCCTGTGGATATGCTTGGCGTGGAGGAACTTGAGATCGCAAACTTCAACAGAGATTGTGAGCCAGGTCCTGTAGTTCAAGTGAGTGACAAAAATCGGACCTCACAAAAGTTATTCTGCATGCAAGGGGCAAAAAACAAACAAACCTCATATGCTTATTCCATACAGTGCATATTAAATGAAAGGAAACATGCAGTACTTGGCATTCATTATATGGGCAAAGACCAACTAGAAAGGACCGGGGCTGAACCTGGAAGGTTTTGGGCTACACTAAAGTTAAACTGCACATTTAAATGAATGTACAACCCTAAAACATGAAGACTGCAGCTTCAAAACTGGCATTCACATATTTGGCATTACACATTAACTCATTCAGTACCAGCCAATTCTGAAAAGACGTTTAAAACGTCTTTGGAAGTGAATGAGTTAAGAGTCTAGCCAACCAGAATCAGTACAATCATAATACAAAAGAGTCAAAAGATACCAGAAAGCAAATCAAATCAAAAACCAATCACCTGCTGCCTGTACAGGGTGAGTTTGTCATCTATAGGGTCGCTTCTCATCATCTTCTTCTCAATCAGCTGATTTATCTGAGAGTCAACCTCTTTAATCTGCAAAACCCAAAAAGTAACTTCAAAAATAAGTGATGCAAAGGTAAGAGAATACAGACTTTAAAGTGGCATCCTGCGCTTCACCTTTTGACCCAGCTCGAGGAGATCACCGTGACCCATGGCGGGCTCAGATGCCACTTTCTGAAGGTACTGAACCGTACGCCTGAGCACCTCCAACTCTTTGGGGAGTTTCTCAGAGACCATGTACGAGTTGATCTTGATCTCCTCTTCGAGCCTTTTCATTAAGTCTGGGGGAGGCATTGCTTAATACATTTGGAAAATGATTGCATTTCAAACAGAAAATGTCTAAAATTGACAAGTAGCGACTCCCTTGGCACCGCACTCACACAACAAATATTGTGATGATTCGAACAAACAGAACAAGACATTTCGACACCAGATCGTCTTAATAGCAAATCTCTGAATCAGAGAGCAAAACTTACTATCTGGACTGGCATCAGCTGCAGCCTGTCGCATGTCTTTTAACTGTTGCTGCAACCTCTGCAGTCTCTGCTCTGCCTGAAACAGCTAAACACAAGTGGCTAATTATTAGTACCGGCGAATGACGAAATTGCACGAGTAAACTCTTATACAAAGTTTGTTATAAATTACCCTTCCTGTGTGATTTAAAGAATGTGTGCTCCAGGTTCAAGCACAAACAAATGAAGTAAACAGTGCTGTTTTTTTTTTTTTTTTTTGTATAGGCCCCTTTTAATTGGTTTTGGCCATGCCTCTTGATATGAGTGTGAAAGGAGTCATCACAATTAGTATAAGCATGGGTCGCATCTTACAGTGGTTATGTTAAAACAAAGGCTGCTTGGTTATAAAATCAAACAAATTGACGCTGTGGACAGAATTCCGATCTGTTTCACTGGCTAGATCCTGTGCTTCAGTACAGTACATCCAGGCTAGATCTTATGCTTCAGTACATCCCCTTGCCTTTGAATATAGGATATTAATATGAATATAGGCATTTAGGCTACTTGTTGGATCAATACTACTCATAGGAAGGTAACAATCCCTCCATGTCAATTATGTTCTTTTAAAGTGAGTGCCTGCGAAATGATTTTAATGAAGCAGTTTTGTAACCATACTAAGAAAAAAAAAATTGTAGGAAAGTTTATGTAAGGCTACATGCTGCTCTAGACTTTATATCGAAAATATTGACAACACGCCTGCCCAACTCTACAACTGTTTAAAAATTACCTCTTGTGAATAATAGTCAACTCTATGTTTGATGCCGCCTCTGTGTCTCCTTTAGTCATTTTAGACTCATTACTCACAAACATTCTAGTTGTAGGATTATATGTACTCTTCAGACACACCCATTGGCCACAAAATGAAGCACACCTATCCATCCATTTTCTAATCCGTTTATCCTCACAGGGGTCGTGGGGCGTGCTGGAGCCTATCTCCGCTGTCTTCGGGCAGTAGGCGGGGGACACCCCGAACTGGTTGCCAGCCAATTGCAGGGCACACATAGACGGACAACCATCTGCGCTCACAGTCACACCTAGGGACAATTTAAAGTCTTGCATGTTTTTGGAATGAGGGAGGAAACTGGAGTATCGGGAGAAAACCCATGCAGGCATGGGGAGAACATGCAAACTGCACACGCAAGAAGGCTGAAATCAAACCCTGCACCACTGCACTGTGAGGTGGACGTACTAACCAGAAGACACTGTGCCACTATTAACCACAGTGACATCTTTAAAAAAAAAATCGGCCTTTCCAAAGTTTTGACACTTGATTTAACATGAACACACTTCTGACACTTTAACATTACGTTTTCTATTGTGTTTGAGTTTGCGCATTTACAAAACTTCACCATAATATCGAGGAACATTTGACAATTGAATAATTTTGTTTCAAGACAAAAAGAAAAAAGGTTAAAATGTCGTTTCGTTGGACAGTGACAACTCTATCAAACAACATAAGGGGCCAAGTATTGTAATCACCAACCTCTTCTCTCAAGATGTAGTGCAGTACATCACTGCAACCTACAACCACGATACAATAACATAACATGTATGTTTTTGTTTAGAAATGAATACCTCTCTGACAGCATTATTTTTATAAATATGTTTTTCTGTTACAACAAAAATGAAGTGTGACGTGAGTGTTAGCTGTTATAATGTAAGTCTCCATAAGAAAAATTACATTTATTTTGTACAAGTTACACGAAAAATAAAGCAAATGCAGAAGATCACCCCATTAATTGATGCATGATTTAAAGGTGACAAATCGATGATGAAAACACAGCATTGACAAAGTTTTACTTGGTTCTTTTGTTCTTGTTTCTGGTGTGCCAAATGCTCTTCTCTCTTCTTCTCAATTCTCAGTTGTCTGGCCTGCTCCAGCATCTGTTGATGGTTGGACACTGACTCCACCTTGTGGAGGGACAAGTTCACACTGTTATGATTGTACATGAAATCGAGGTGGATCGCGCCTTCCATATATAACCGTGCAACGTAGACAGAGTCAGATTTCACCTTTTGGAACGACTTGGGTGTCTGATCAACAGCCCATTACTTTGCTGGCTTGTCAAAACAACTTAACAAGCTGTCACATCCCGCTTAAGTCTACTAAAGAAGCTGCTAATATACAACAAGGGTTGTGTTTTCATTCCTCTGTGAATCCTAAAACCCTCGGAGCATTACAAGAACAAACCACCCCTAGGGGGGAGTTGACTCACCCTCTTCTTCAACCTTTCCACACGTTTAATTAGTGGACCTTTCTCCTCCTCCATTGCACTAATGTCCTGTTGCAAAACAACACAAATAATGTTTTTCAAAAGTTCAACTGGGATAGTGTTATTTTCATAAAGCTAAAACGGTTTTAGCTTTATATAAATCAGGTTTTAGTAAAACCTGATTTATTTCCCTCATATCTTATGTTGAAAATAAAGTTATAATACAATTTCTATTCACAGATTAAATTTGATTTCAAAAATATATATATTTACCCTTCTGATTTCTGCTGTGGAAAACCCTGATGTCCTGAGCTGCTCACATTCCTTATGATTGGTCTTAAATCCTTCCACCAGTTCTTCATACTAGGAAAGTACATGTAATGTTTGCATTAGCTCATTTGTTCTTGACTGAATCACTGGCCTCATACATAAGCGAAGTGAGCTTTATCCATCCATCCACTCATTTTCAACATCGCTTATCCTGAACAGATCGCGGATGGTGCTGGAGTGGAGCCTATCCCATCTGACTTTGGGCGGAAGGGAGACTACACCCTGAACTGGGCGTCAATCTCTGGGCACATGTAGAGCCAAACAACCATTTACACCCACATCGTCACTGTCAGTCGAGTGTACTACAGGTAATACACCTTCGGCGACTCTGAAGTGAGTTTAAGTTTATGAAAACCTGGTGATATGTGTCATTGATGACGTCATCCGCCAGGAACTCTGCAGGAACATCAATTTTAACAAGAAAACGAGCCAAGTAAGCTCGTTTCTTTAGCTCTGGGACCCTCTGCAGAAGCCAGTGCAGGATGGGATGGACAGCAGGTTTGCTCCCAACCACAAGACCTTGCCTGAAGCTGCTCCTGAGGTGAAACACTGAGTCAGAAAATTCCCCACACAGACACAAGAGTGCTTAAATATCAGTTGTTTGATTTCACCGTAAACAACAACCTACAGCTCAGACTGGTTGCCAGGTGGTTTGTATTTCAGCATTCCAAGAAGAGCACACATTCTCTTCGCAGTTTGTTCGGGCATTTCCTCGCGAATATCAATAGCTTGCTGAAAATAAAATTGATGTATTAATTGCAAACTGGTAGAGCATGACAAAAGTTTTCGGAGTCGAACATCAAGTTGGCTAACAAACTGTATATTGCTTACCTTTGGGTCTACTTCAGCTAAAACGTCATTTAGAATCTGAAGCAGCTGCATCGGTTCAAGGGAGTCAAACGTGATTAAATTGAAGTTTTTCTTAAACGGATCTTTGTTCAGTTGTTCGACAATAAATTTTAGTTGCTCGCTCATTTTTCCGAGATTCTTAGGTGCTTTATACAATCACTAGAAATCTCTCCTCGATTTATGGCTCAGAATTGGGCTAACCTGGGCTAGCATATAACGTCAGCCCGTGCGTCCGCCTCGAAAGACTAATGGCGCATTTAAAGATCCTAAATGCGTAGGAACTTCTGATTTTATACTTCCTCAGCTACCTTTGCTGAATGAATTTATCCCCTTTGTCCTGACTGACCTCTTTCATGAATGACGCCGTCCGTTAAAAGTACACTGTCCTTCCTTTAGAACGTGTTTCTGCATTCCAAAACACGGGCTCCTCATCTGTTCCCCGAACACACTAATAAACTCGTTAAAATTAGTATATGACATAACAAGTGCTATGGAAATTATATACCTCTACAGTGTGTACAAGGGCACATGGTGTACAATATTCACAAAATCAGATACGCAAACGAATAGGCGCTTGTGACCTTTTCCAACTTGTGGTCTCAAATAATCCCGATTTTCAAATGAAACGGGAATGCATCACTATCTATTCGCGTCGGTGCAGTCACCGTGGTTACCTGAAACGAGTTCCGGGTCGATGGCCAACCGGATAGGAGCTTCAAAATAATAAATACAACAAAAAAGAAAAACAACAACTCTCAATTCATAACAAACATACATTCCGTAAATATAATATAGAACATCTAACTAACATTTCTGCTTATGTTAGCCTCGTCGAACGGTAGTCCTTGAACACTCGTGCTGGGTCCGTCTGAACTTTTGAACCGTCAGGTGGCGATGTTGAAGATTTTTTTTCCCCCTACAAACCATCTTTACAATTGCATCACAATGACCTTTGAAGTACCAAGCGTAATCCGGTCATAATGGTGGCGTTGTTTCCAAATCACTTGAAAAGCCTTGGGGAGAGTTTATGGAAAAGAACGGTTTGGTGAAAAGTTGTCGATACTGTATTGTACTTTTTTCACCTCGATTGGTAAGAGCGCAACTGCAAAACAACACTCCTTTCTCCAATGCACGTGTGAGGCTTTACCGTTCTCTCAACAGTGTTCTTTGTTAAGAAAAGTAAGTTTAGTAAGCATTGTCGACTTTTTGAGTTTGATGTGTGATTGTGTACACGGACCAGTAATCACACATGGATGCCCCGCCTCTTCTGCTCGAGCTGCTCTTCGACGGCGAGCCAAAACACCAGCGTGTTCCGAGTCATTCTGGCAGCAAACACAGAGGATAGAGGATCTCGAGAGAATGAAAGTTTAAAAGAAAGAGCACAAGGTCAACTATGATTTCTTTGGACTTGCCGTTAAGGAGTAAAGAAACTGGACCTTTGATTTTTTTTGTTTGTTTCTTTGTGCATGAGTCTGTAAGTAAAAACTGAGATTGATCAGGAAGTGGACCCTCAAATTACCCCTTCTTTCCACAGCACCATGGACATTCTAGGACACAAGAAGTTAATTTCACCGTATTATTTGCAAGGATTTTTGTTTGTATTTTTTTGTGAGTGATATTTGGTTAGAAAAACAATGGTTGAACCAGTTGGGTTTGTGGAGGCTTGGACAGCCCAGTTTCCTAATACTGATCCGCCATGCATGAAGCTGCACTCTATGGGAGATATTGAAGAGGAGCTGGACAAATGCAAGACATCCATCAAACACTTGGAAAAGGAAGTAAACAAAGAACGCTTTAGGATGATCTACCTACAGACCCTTCTTGCGAAAGAAAGGAAGTCCTATGATGGCCAGCGATGGGGGTTTAAAAGGATTTCTCAGGCAAGTGATGGAACTTTTCTCAGTGGTCCGGACAGCCAGATATCTCACAAAGAGCAAGTATCAGTAGTGCAGCCACAGGCAGCACCTGGCAAGACAGAAAAGTGGACACCACATTCAGAGGGAGAGGTTGAGGCTGCCAAAGAGAAGGGCGGGGAGACACCTGTCCGCCAAGAGTCTGACATTTCCGAATTCCCAGTGGGACCGGGTTCAGTTGCGGCTCTGAGATCCAACTTCGAGCGCATCAGGAGAGCCAACTCAAACACAGCTGCAGATGGCAGAGGGTCGTCAGTGACGGGAGGACCAGACAAGCCCTTCTACGTGAACATGGAGTACCATTACGAGCGAGGACTGGTCAAAGTTAACGGCAGGGAGGTGTCAGACAAGATCAGCACGCTTGGCTGTCAGGCCATGCAGATGGAACGCAAGAGGTCTCTTTATTCCGTCCCAGAAAAACTATCAGCCACCACAGGGGACATAAACAAGTGTGTTCAGCGAGGCCGATCCACTGAGGGGAACTGCAGTCATAATGGGTCATATGACCAACCAGAGGTCACCCATCACTTCCTGAAAGACGGTGCAATCCATTCTACAGAAGGAAAACCTGAGACACAGCCAGCTGAGTGTCAACCATACACCAGCGTGTATGTCGGGGGAATGATGACTGAGGGGGACACTCGAGTGATCCACATTAGAGACCACAGCATAGAGGAGAACACGCATCAAACATGGCCTCGGCGCTCCTGTTCTCCTGGCAGCTTTGATGATGACGGAGGAGGAGGGGAATACACCCCAGACTGCAGCTCCAATGAAAACTTGACATCCAGCGAAGAGGACTTCTCCTCGGGCCAGTCCAGTCATGTTTCCCCCAGTCCCACAACCTATCAGATGTTCATGGACAAAAGTCGCTCTCCTTCCCAGCAGTCGTTTGAGAGCAGCAGCCCACCCGCACCCCTCTCCCAAAAGCATCTGAAGCAGCAGGTGGAGGTTACTGAGCAGGTCAGAGTACATAAAGCAGGCCAACCTTGGCCCAGTGATGGGGAGTCCACCACATCCAGCAGGACCTCCCATGATAACAGTGTTCAAGGCGATCTGGGTAAGTTCACTAGGCAGACTCACTCTCTCTCTCTCTCTCTTTCTCTGACAACAACTGGCAAATGTTTATATTTCATATTTGTGATCAACCTTTGACTGGAAAACATATTTGATTACTTAAGTCGGCGTTCAATATGGACCGGTTTATACTTGCCCATTTGACAGTAGGTCCATGTGATTTCTCTAAGACATGACAGCAACTAATATCATAAGTTATGACATGACAAGAGGTATATAAAATGTGCATTTTTTTCATGGTACTTATTGTTTTGTTTTTCCTTTCGTGTTGCTCGAGTATTAATTTACTTAATTCGATTGTTTTTTTAGAATAAAATAAGATTTTATTTTTACTCACACACAGAAATAAATCAAGACTAAAATAACTAAACCTTCTCCGAAAACTATGCAATATGACTTAAGTCAATAGGTCTGTCTATACATTTCTTTGATGGTACTTAGTAGAATTTTTCATTTATTAATATTGCTAATAATGAGATTTTTTTTTCTGACAAAAATACATTTCAATTAGGGGTGCACGGATAAGTCACCTGGGATCTGCATCGCCACTGATTTCCCTAATTTTGGAAAAATCAGCCATTGTCCTCTTTTTTTAATTTGAGAGAACTCCTTCATGTGCAGTTCAAACAACCCATTTTTAAAGATCGGGGATCAGTGCTCGGCCAGAAAATTGGTGCACCCTTAGTTTTCAAAGATTTTTTCCTCTTCGCTTCAAGATAAAGCAAATGACATTGACCTATTGAAACAACATTAGCTTTCAGTTTTTTTCCCTTCAAAGATTTGCTGTATTTCTCCTGATAGCAAACAAGCTTTCAAAAAAGCTTTTACTTGAGCATAAACTTGCATCAATTTGCTTTGTACAAAGAAATGCATTTTTTTTTCTTGACAGATGATGTGGAAATAAGTGTTCCTTTTATCAAAGCATGGATGTAAACACAATCCTTTGTAAGGTTTTATTCATTAATTCATTGGCAAAAATGTTGAAATTGGTAAAATTAGTTTTTAGAGTATTTGAACGAAATTATTTTTGGATTATGTTGTAATGTATTAATGTATTTAAAAAAAACAAAAAATTTGGTCTATTTTTCTGTTTTCAAAAGACCGAATGGGGGCTGATTTAATCAGCTGACTGATGAATCGTTAAGGCCCTAGCACTTATCATCGGTCAAAAGTTTCAAATATGCTGATAAATCACTGGTTTTTGCAAGATATGAATGGGCACCATGTTTTTGGCAATGTTTAGCATGATTGACTCTGTGACTTCTTTGCACCGGGGCTCCTTTTTTGTCATACACAAAACATTGTGAAAATGATTCTGGTTATTGTCCTTTTTTTTGAAGCAGAAATTAAAGTCTTTAGATGGTTTTTTTTTTCAAAATTTTCATCAGAGGGGTCAGAAAAGTTGCGAAATATTGAACTACAGAACTGCAAAAAAATGAATTAGTAAACAATCAACTCAAAAAACTCAATAAAATCAATTACTCACCAAGCCCTGAGTAGTCAAAATCTGAAAAATCCCTATTTTGGGTTTTTAATAATAATAATAATAATAATAATAAGACATTTTATTTATAAGCGCCTTTCAAAACACTCAAGGACACTTTACAACCAAAACAAGAACAATAAAACCACAGATCATTTTCTTTATTTTGTTTTTGAACATACACAAAAGGGCGCAGACAGGAGAAAAATTCCACATCACATTTGTTGATACCAGTAAATCTCTGTATATTATCATTTGACCAACTGATCAAGGTGAATTCATTTTCATATCCTAATATCCAGAATAATAGATGCAGCAACTAAACCTTGCCCTGGGGCCCTGTAGTTAGTGTGTGTGTGTGTGTGTGTGTGTGTGTGTGTGTGTGTGTGTGTGTGTGTGTGTGTGTGTGCGCGCGCGCGCGCGTGTGCGTGTGCGTGTGTGTGTGTGTGTGTGTGTGAGATGGACAGAGCTACTGGCGAGAATGTGAAGATAAAGTTCTAAAGAGTACCGTACATCTCAAAGTTGCACTAGTGAAAAATCACGGTATGGCCTTGCACAAGAATAAGTTACCATACATTGCTGTCTAAAATGCACCTGCAATCTCTTGAATGAAATGATAGTGGCCGACATGTTTTCTGGCCAGGATTATTATGCCGTTTATTTTTAACACATGATGCTGTTAACCTGCAGAGGAGGGAAATATAATGAGATGACTGATGTGACCTACAAAAGCGAAACTAGGTTAAATGAAATGCACATTCTTCACACAATAATGAGCATTAAGACACATTCTCGCCAAAGCCTGGGAATGAATGTTAATTCTAATCCATCTTTAATCATCTTTTTCTAAACACAACACTAGAGTTGGAAATTATTTTTACTCGGTTAGCTTGTAAAAATAAAAAGGTGCTTTTCATTGACATGCGGGATTGATCACTGATGAGGATTAACAGATTTTATTCATTTTTTTGAGCTGACCTCCACGCTTTTTTGCCGTCTTC